ATCTGTCAGTGATTGGAATAATCAACAGTGAAGTCACGCCAGAAGCACAGCAATGGCTACATTGTGCTGCAACCGTTTATACATCTTCATCCCTTTATTACTTATGATCTTTGAGGGAGAGCGAGAGCCCTTGTCTTCTATGTCTTTGCACGAAAATAGCATGGCGTAGTTGAACATCTTTACAGATCATAATTTCAGTTGCCTTCTCTGCAAATAAATCTGAACATCTGTGTTAGACTTAGCTTCTCTGATCCTCTGTTCTTCAACTGAAAAAAAATAAAGATTAAACAAGGTAGAGAGTTCTTGTACAGTGTTCAGCTCATAGATGGCTCTTGATAAATGGTTGCTGTTATCACTTCCAAAATTGTCATCATTATTATTGGTTCCCCAGCACCTTCTCAAGCTCTGGTACCTACTAGGTATTCAGTGTTTGATAAATGAATCATTTATAATCATATATATATATATATATGCTTAATTTTAATTGATTGTTCTGTTGACATTGGCTATACTTTATTTACTGGTGTACTGTCCAAAATTATTCTTTGTAAATAGCAAGTATTCATTAAAGATCGGGTGGAGGGATAAAGGAAAAAAGGAGGAAAGAGCGAATCTTAGAGTAGAAAATCCTGCGTTTCTGTTGGATGGCACTCAGCAGCACAGCATTCACTGTATTTTTTTTTTTTAATCACATCTTGTGTGTTACTTACTTTTCTCTCATTGCTAAGACAAAGCACTCAACATCCAAAGTTAAGCAGGGAAAGGTTTATTTGGTTTAAGTCCATAGAGCTTTCAGTCCATAACTGGCTGGCTTCAAGGCAGAGTGGTAGAGGGGCAACAGCTCATGGCAGCAGAAGCAACAAGAGAGACCTTAACAGTGTCTTCCTGCCCCTTTTACCTTATCTAGGCTACTTAGGGCCGGTAACACACCCTTAATCCCAGAGCCCTCAAGCCTAGCATTGCACCAGGAATCAATCACCCACTCTGGATTCAGCGGCCTTTGAGAAAGCCCCACCTGAGACCTCATGGGGCTTTGCGGGGCCCATCTAGACACAGCCATAACACCTGGCGAAAGGACTTCGCGCACCAAAGAGGACTCCAGCACTGCTGCAGAAATCGGCAAGACTGACAGGATAAGAGTATTTGAAGCCAGGGGGAATATTTGGAGAGGGATTCGTGCCGGTGTGTCATGTTTTACTGTAATGTGGACCCACATCGCGATCTAGCCCTGTTCTGTAGGCAGATCTCTAAACTCCATGGCTGCACCTGTGAAAAGAGAGCAATGCCAGGTATGTCCGGCCCAAAATGGTTGTAATAATTAAGTGAAAGGACACACAGGAAGCATTTAACATCTTGCCTAGGCTGGGCGCAGTGGTGTATGCCTGTAATCCCAGCCCTCGGGAGGCTGAGGCAGAAGGATCGCCGTGAGTTCGAGGCCAGCCTGGGTTAGTTCCAGGTCAGCCTCAACTACATAGTGAGACCCTGTCTCAAAAACCAAAAAACAAAACAAAACAAAACAAAATAACATCTTGCCCAGCACACAAGTGCAAGCCCAGTAAATGTTAGCTGCACTTCTTAGAGATAAGGATTAAAAGTACAAGGGATGCCGGGCCTAGAGGGCCATGCATGAGGCAGGATTCCACGTTAGAACCCAGTCTGAGCAACCTAGTGAGTCCCTGTCTCAAAAACAGAAAGTACAAAGGGCTGGGGATGAGGCTTAGCTGAAAGCCCTGGCTTCAATTTCCAGTACTGAAAACACATAAACAAGCAAAATGAAGTGCGGGGGCTGAAGCAGGAAATGACCCTAGCACCTAATTGAGCTGGGAGTGTCTGAGGTGCAGGGAAACTGAGGCAGGGGATCATCTCAGCCCCGCACAGCAGCCAGCCTCTGGTCCTAGCTCTGGCATCCGGTCAGAGGGCTTGACTTCCTCTGCTTTGGGTCTCTCAGCTCCTGCCCTTTGCTTCTCTCTCCCCCTTCTCTCCCCTCTCCCTCTCCCCGTCCTCC